TGGTTTGGCTTATTCTTTGACCTTGCCCTTGCCCTTTGGATTTTCTTTCAGACTTGGTAAGTCGGTTTCTGATTTCTGGTTCCTGACTTGAGGCCCTTAAGAAGACCCTTACCCCTGCAACTCCCAGCTCTAGCCCAGTCCTACCAACTAGGCTGGCTGGCCTGGTGGATTATGACAAAGATAAAACAGTTTAGCTGACAAACCTGGAGACAGGAGTAGAAATTTTATTATTAAAATCACAGCAAGGGGGCTGAAGTTGGTGGTGATGGACAAGTGAGTATAGGCTTCAGTCCATATGGGTGTAGATACACTGCTTCTCAGCAGAGCTAATGAGTTCAGGCAGAATCTTATGTTAATATAATTATACTCCTTACTCCTTTCTAGGACCTGAGCTAACTTTTTAGAGCTACCTTAGGTATCTCTGTATGGTACTGCATTGTGCCCTGGAAACAGACTCTAAACTTTTGGCTGATGTGACCTGGACAGGTATTCCTTCAAAAGACACCATTGTTCTTGCCTTTCTCAACTGCAGAGACCATCATTAATATGCAGTTAGTAGCTGAGGGCACTGTTTCTATGGCACTTCCCATACAATTGCTATTTCCCCACTTTGGAGCAGAGATGTTGGTTATATATATGTATGATGTATGTGTGTGTTTGTGTGTGTGTGCGTGCATGTGCACGTGCGTGTGTGCATGCGTGCGTGTGTACAAAGAGAGTAAAACAACAATACAACTCTTCCTTCCAGATTCTTCACCCACCTTTTGTCTTGTCTCTTTCAGTGATAAGCCTCTACAAGCCTACAACTGCCCCTCTCTATGTCTATGCAACACTTGGCACAGTGGGGTCCTGATCTCAGTTGGGGCCTGCAGGCATTACTGTCACACAGTTCGATAACTATATAGTTAAATAAATCTGATCATATTAAAATCTCAAGCTTTCTGTTCCAGCTGCGGTATAAGAAAGACAGTCTTAGAGAGAGTCAAGCTTAAAGCTAATCAGTTCCAAGCAATGAGTTCAAAGTTATTTCAGGTCTCATGCTGGGTTTGGAGTCCCCCTGCCAACAGTCATAGTTTCCAATCACAAGCTCCTACTTGTCAATGCTGCTTTCTCCCCATCTCATTGCAAAAGGCTGGCATGAATAACAGGTGAAAGAGACTGATTATACACAGGAAAAAATGAAATGGATGATGCAGAAAGGCTGGTGTTTCAACAGGGCCTAAGTGAATGAGGCACTGAACATCCAGTGACTTTCACTGGGATTTGGAAAACTCACTTCCCTAGGCTACACTGAAAGTTTCAGGCAAATGTGAAATGCGGAAAGTGAACAAACTAGGGACAAATGGAGGCAAACCATTTTTGAAACCCTGTCAGCGATGGTGATCTTAAGTGTGACCTGAAACAGCCAAGGTACAGTGCTGGCTGAAATTAGAGTGTTTTTTTAGCTTGATGATGTCCCCATTTTTAAAATATATGAACACCATAAACTAACCCACGCCCTCTTTTCAGTTCCCTTGGGAAGGTGCCCATGCCATAGCTGACACTCCCTAGCAGCCTTGAGGGTTCTCTGCTTAGGAGCCAGGCCAAGGATGGTGGAGGCTTGAACAGACACTCATTAGGTACCTCAGCTATGGAAGGGCATTTCCCAGTTCCACTGTTCTGGCCTCCCTGACCACAAACATCAAACCTGAAGCAGAGGAATGAGTGGGCACGTTCCTTCAGGAGAAGTTTGAGACAGAGTCCTGACGTATTCAGAATCTCTATTTCTTCATATGGATACAGCTGAATTTGGGTGTTGTTTTGTACAGCATGTTTGTAGCAGGGCAGCAGGGTGCACCTGCTCTTTTAAGGGAGCAAGCAGAGTGAGAGGCTACCTGCAGGTGGAGCGGGGGACTAATGAGAGACTCACCTGACCGAAAGAGAGCTGGGGCCCAGTAAGGGGTTGATGAGTCTAGGCAAAGCCTGAGACCTGGACCAAAGGGACCATGTGCCCAGGGGAGGGCTGAGCCAGGCCAGAGAGTCCACAAGTCCAGAGGAGGGGCTGCATGTGGGACCAGAGGGTCTGAGAGTTTCAATAGACAACATCAATAGGAAAGAATTCCTGTGAGGCTTGTAGTGTGGTGTAGGGGAGGAACAGAGCCACACAATGAGCCTTTAAGGCTTCAGGTACCCAGCAGAGGTACAGGCAGGCAGAAAGGGCCTACTAGCCTGGGGGTGCAGGACTGTGACTGAGGGGACCCAGGAGGGGTCCAGTGATGATTGACACAGCCTCAGGCTCACTCAGAGCCCATAGGCAGCCTCCCTTCCACAACCTTCAATAAGACAAGGCATGGTGGGCGAGTGGTTGAAGCTGGGCTACAGCCAAACCTGAGCCAGGCAGGGTCCACAAGGCCACCCCCCTCCCTCCACTGTTGCATTGCTCCTGACTTGAAAGAGACTGGGATTTGCAATATGCTGCTGGAGCATGCTCTCTTTGGATCAGGGTTGAAGCGTATTGGGAGGCTCAGCATTCAGGACCTAATCCTGCCAGGCACTTTACAGGTGCTTAACTTTCAAACATGTGCTTATCTATAACAACAACAACAATAATAATGGTCATGATAATGATACCATTCATTCATTTTCCTGTGGCACGTAGGAGCCCAAGTCATTGACCATGACTCCACTGTGCTCTACAACAACAGAACCAAACAATAATCCCTGTCTCAAAGCTTTCACCCTAAATATGAGATAACAACATACAAGTGAATGCAGACAGAGGAGGGAAATAAAAAGAAACAAGTTAAGGTTGGCCAGCATGTGGATGACTGGCAGTGGGCTCAGCACATCAGCAGTTGAACCATGATAACATTTTTTGTTGGCATTGGGGTGTCACAGAGAGGAGCAAGGAGGGGACACCATAAAACAAAAGAAGGAAATAAACGGAAAACATTTACCTGCAGCGGGATCAGCAGCAGAGCGGGAGCAAGAAGGGGAACCCGCGTGGCTCGTCAGCCACATCTTTATTCAATTAAGACCAGCTGATGACGTCAGCAACAAACGCCGGCCAGCGAAGATAAAGATGGCGACCAACAGCGAGGAGGAGAGGGGAGAGAGAGAGAGAAGCGTGCGGGAAGTAAACAATCCTGCAGAGAAGCCCAGGGAGCACAGGGCTTCAAAGAGGGAGCCAGAAGAGGCCCCTGAAGAGGAGTGTGCCGACGACAGGGAAGCAGGGACAGAAGAAAATTAGAACAGCCTCTGGAGATGGCAGAGGCATTATAAACAAGGGGAAGAGGAGCAAGCCCGCAGCGACACACAGGATACCAGGTGGGAGCTGGGGAGGAACGACAGGGAGGAGGAAGAGCCGGCCCTGTGGAGAAGACTTTGAGGGGAACAACAGGGAAAATCTGGGTAGAAGGGGGAAGGGGCCCTGAAGTTAGAAGAGGAATAAAAAGCGGTGGGGAATACCCGAGGCAATCAGCTCAGGACAGCCCAGAGAGAGGAGATTGCAGGGAACGACGGTGGAGCCGTGTTTAAAGGAAGGAGCCTCAAGGGCATGAGAGTCCCAGAAATATAGATAGGGGACTACTAGGGATCCCCAAGTGGGCCTACAAGATAATTATCTTTTTCTTTGATAGTTTAGTTTTGATTTTCCCCAAGTGAAGGGGTGGAGAGTGGGAGAAGAAGTATAAGGAAGGGAGGAGCTTGAGGCCTCAGGATAGTAGTGTGGTGGTGGTGGTTTCATTATTTTTCCCCGAAGGAAGGGGTTGGGGAAGTTAAGGAGAGGGCATTAATCACTCAGGATATTCGGGCAGGTGTAAAGAATAGATCCTGACCAGGGATTGTACTGGTATCTTCGACATCACCAAGGAGGAGCAGCATGGTCCATCCAGCCAGAAAGGAGGAGTAGGGACGGGGTGTAGGGGTGGCAGAGCCCCATAAGTGACCATCAAGTAGACCGCACCGGACCGAGTGACCCCGAGGAGGCAGCCCCCACTGGGAATATTCAAAGTCGTGGCAGGCGAGATACGGGCAGTCCGCCTCGGGAGAGAACAGCTACTCGAGCAGCAACCAGAGCAGGCAAGGAGAACATCACCTACCATACAGGGTAAAGCCACTCGAGACCAGGTGTTCAAGTCCCAATGGTCACATGGGGCAAGACAGTTTTAAGCGGGGACTGAAGGAGGACAAGGAAGTGGCTTTACAGATGCATGTGGGGAACATCTCAGAAGCATTAGAGGTGGCAGTAGAGAAAGCACAAAGAGGGCCTGCTTGAAACTCTAACACAGCGGTTCCCAGTCTGTGGAATGGGTACCACCAGCGGTATGCAGACAACCTATCTGTGGTACACATTAACAGGTTTATTATGTTTACTTTATATGACAAAAAATTGCTGGTGGTACTTAGGTTGAACTGAAAAATTTGTTGGTGGTACTTAAGATTGTATCGTTTTAAATTGGTGGTGCATAATCTGTCAGAGTTTGGGAACCACTGCTCTAACCCATCATTGATTGAGTGTAATCTCTCATGCCGCTCACTAGAGAACCGCTCACAGAACCGCTCAGTAATGCATCTTACTTTTATGGGTTTTTTGGACGCTGCCATCCCCTTAGTGGTTGACAGCCTGCTGTTAGGTTAGATGTCTTGGATTTACACGTCTTGTTGGACTGAGCTTGTTATTAGGAGGATGGTTGTACATCCTGCCTTTTCTGGTTTCCTCCTTTAATCTTCCCATCCAGTTTCCCATTTCGGGGCTCCACCTCCCCTATACCCTGCCTTATGCCAACCATAGATGTTAATTTCTGACTGCCACTAGGGCTGGTCATGGTACAGACTTTGTTTTGCCCTTTAAAGTTAGAAAAGTCTAGTTCGGACTGTGTGTCATCTGGATGTAGCCCGTATTGTAACTGGCCTGCAATTTTTTTGCCAGCCCCGGGTTACCTTGCTTCCCAGTGTGCTCTTCTCTCTCTCTGGCTTGCATCCATCATACTCCATGGATCTGTCTCTCTTTCTCTCCTCAGGTTCACTGTTGTCCCAGTCCTGTCCAGCTATGTCTGGGATCCATAGCTCAGTTTCAGGTAAGTAACTAGGCCCTCCTGGGCTTAGCTTATTTTTGTCTCTCCACTCCTGGGGCTGCCACCACCTTCCCTCGGTGGGGCAGTGATCAGCTCTGGGCTGCTCTGGGCCCACTGGTGGACTCACTTCCAGTCCCCGCTGTTCTTGGTCCACCGGGGTTTTTATGCCCCCTTCAGGGGGCTGGCTGGCAAATAGGCACCAGCACACTGCCATAAAGTGGGTTCGTGCCAGTGCTGGAGCTGGCCCCAGCTCTCCCTGGACCCGTTGTAACTTTTTTTCTTCTATCTTTGGCGCAGAGATTTTTTTCGCCGTGGCCCCATTCTCTCCCCATTTCCAGTCTCCAGCAGCATCCTGTTGGCTCCACTCCTCTCCATCTTCAGGTAAGTCTCTCTTTGTGGCATTGTCCCTGCCACATTGAGGTTGGAACAATGACTGGAAATGACAGTTGACATCTCACTATGGAACAAGGGCTGGGTAGAGGCAGAGGATGGAGAAAGTATCTTGAAAGAGAAGATAAGCCATTTATGTCTGATGTGATACAGTAGGTTGAGCTAGTCAAAGGATGTTTATAGAGGTACAACATAGTCAGAGCTAGGAAAGCTATGTTTGTACTGCTATTCAGGGTCAAGGTTAATGCTGTCTTGAAGATTGTATCTGCTGACCTTCTGCCCTGTATTCTCCTAACTTCAATCCTTGGTGGCTGTCCCAGCCAGCCCTGGGAGCTCTGCTGAACTCTCAGGTGGGAAGCCAACCCACCCCTGCTCCCCTCCTTGCCTACCCCATCTTTAAAAGTGTTTCTGACTCACTAGAGTCAGCGCAGAAAATCTGCCAGTAGCAATACCACTGTTTCCTGTTCCTGACTTCCTCTTTACTGCCTGTGAGAACAAAGAGTGAGGTTGCAGCAGGAGAAATAAGTACCACAGACCAATTCTTGGAGGACTTTACTTGAGAAACAAGCAGCACAGTGTAGGCAGCTTTGGTTCAGGCCACATAAACAGGAAAGAGCAGCACACACATTTCAGTGCTGCTATGGGTGACCTTCAGAATAGATCCTATGCAGCAACACAGATTTATGTAAGCAGACGTTTGCAGTGACAGTCAGCTTACATTTCCATAAATGGAAATGGGGAGTGGGGGTAACAATGCATTTGTCAAGGACAGTGACATGGGTGTTGCACCAGTCAAGACATAAGATGGCCATTAGCCTGGGCTAGAACATTATCTGTGAAGATGGACAGGAAAGGCGGTTTCTTATTAGGGCCTTCTTGCATGGTAATTTTGGGTGGCTCCCAGATAGGGTGATCATATGTGCCAGTTTGGCCAGGACAATCCTGGATTTCATAGGCCATCCCAGTGTCCTGGCCCATTAGTGTGAACTGAAGAAAAAGTCCTGGATTAGGACCACCCTAACCATAGGTGCCTGGCCTGGCTCCTGCTGAGCAAGCTGGAGGTGGGTGGTGAGCTGGTCTGAACCTGGCTCCTCTTGCCTGCAGCAAGGATTGACTGGCATGGGGCAGGCCAGGGGAGGGGGCCATGGCTGGGGCTTGGGCACTTGTACAGCATGAGATGTGATGGCGGGGCAGGACAGGACAGCATGGAGGCCCGTAGCCAGGCTCCATCCCCCACGTGCAGAGACTGGACCCAGCTGGGAGTGACTCTGTGCTGTCTCACCTGGCTCCACTCCACCATCAGGGCTTCTGGGAGTGACAGGGTCAGGGCTGTGTGTGTGTACATCTGTGTGGAGAGGGGTGTGCAGAGACACTGTGTGTGCATGTGCATATGCACTCCCCATCCCAGATTTCCTTACCCTGTCCTGGATTTCGCTAAAATGTTTATCCCCTTCTCCACCGGGCTTTAAATTAAGCCCACCAGGGGATGGGGGGACTCCTGCCCCTGCTGGCCTGCTGAGCAACCTTTGCAAAACCAGCAGGCCTAGGCACTTAAGGGAGCCCACCCCTGCCACAACACTGGAATGATCTGTAGACAAGGCAAGGGCCCTGAAAGGGACACTTGCCTGCCTGTACACAAATGCCAGGAGCTTGGGGAATAAACAGGAGGAAATTGTCCTCCTGCTTAACACAAATAATTATGATGTCATAGGAATAACGGAGACCTGGGGGAACTCCACCCATGACTGGGCCACAGGTATAGACGGCTATACCCTGTACAGGAGAGATCGAGTGGACAAAATGGGGGGGTGGTATATCTCTCTATGTCAAGGAAAGCTATGCGTCCCTGCAAGTTGACATTGGTGCCCAGGGTGGATGACTGGAGACCCTCTGGGTGAAAATCCGTGGGGAACATGGCACAGGGGACACAATGGTGGGAGTCTACTACAGGCCTCCTACCCAGGATCAAGAGCTTGACCAGGAGTTTGCCAGGGAATTGGCTGAAGCTGCACACTCCTGGTGCATGGTTGTCATGGGAGACTTCAGCCACCCAGACATCTCATGAGAAAAGCACTCAGCCAAATCCAAATGGTTGCAGAGCTTTCTCACGTGCATGGACGAGCTCTTATCTGACACAAGAAGTCTATGGGCTAACAAGAGGTAAAGCGCTGCTCGACCTGGTACTGGCAACAGGGGACAACCTAATCAGTGGCCTAATGATTGAAGGGAAGCTGGGTGACAGTGACCACGAGATGATCACCTTCACCATCTGCCATAAAGCTGGCAAGTCAGCCAGCAATACAGAAGGCCTCAACTTCAGGAAAGCTGACTTTGACAAGCTCAAGACATCTTCAAACAAACCTTTAATGTAGGTCGCTACTTCACCCCATCCCTTTAGCTGGGGCATGTCTACATCTTTAACCCAGGATTTTGGAAGACTTAGGTTAAGGGTGACACTTTTTAATTGGGTTTTTGGCCACATTAAGGTGGTTTCCTGGTCATGGACATATAGGGTAGCTGATGCCCCTTGGAAATGTTGAGCTTCTGCACAACAGCTGGTGCAGGAGGTCCAAAATTTGCTGTTAGGATGACATAAGTGGCCAGGACCTTCCCAGCAAACTCGTTGGGCTAGGGTAATATAGGGATTTGCTGGTAGGGGTGTTACACAAACCATGTTGTGGGGACTATTAGGCAACCCTCTCCATAAAGTTCCCAAGCCTATTAGAATGCCATTTACGTGTATACCGGGGATTGGGCCAAATACTTGGGACCTTCGGGGGTTACAATTTCCCAAATGGGATAATGTAAGTTCCAGTCCCACATGCACCCACCTCCTAGTCCTGTTGTTAAGAGATGGGCAGTGGACCATGTGCCATTTGCTACCCCATGTACAACGAAAAAGCATTTTGTCTTGCTACACCCCTCCCAGCATGTGCTCCATGTGTCTTGGTAAAGTAACCGTTGAGCTACCGTTGAGGGTAGCACATGGTGCTCTAAGCCAGCAGGCCATTCTTTGTGTCTGAGATCACTCATTACCTGGGAAAAATGAAGGTTAAGTGAAAGCTGCACTTGGGCACAAGCAGTGCTCCAGGTTTGATTAGCATTGGCTTGGAAGGCTGCATGCATCAAAAGGTGACTTATTTGTGCTGTTTTTCGGCCAGTGGTTGCCACTAACTCATCAGTGTATTCTAAGGCCATGTTATTAATCATACCTCCCTTAGTGAGAAAACCTATGGCTTGCCGTATATCCATGATTCCTTCGGTGTTTTTCTGGGATTTATCTATGTTCCAAACTCCCATGGCTGAATTGAGCCCATTCCACACATGGTCTAGGGTATCCCTCTTTTTCTGGGCAATTGGAGGCTGGGCTGCGGGTTGGAAAACAGTTGGCCGGCCCAGCGCAGCATATTTTCTGCCAACTGAGTGCCAGCAGAGCAGTTAGGAAATGCTGTTCTGATAAACCATTGTTTGGGGTTAAATGTGATACAGGCATTGAACAAGGAGGCATTAAGGAGGACTGGAGCCCTGGTTTGGGACCTCCACCAGGGAGTGATGTTAGATAAGCGAGGTAGCGGATACACCTGTGGTGGCTCCTTTTGGATTAACAAGGTACATCCCTGCTTAATTCAAAAAACAGCTAGGGGTTCTCCTGTTCGGGTGTTTAACCATCTTCCTTCTACCCTTTGGGATTGGTAAATCTCCCAATCAGGTTGGTTGAAGGAGTGCATTCGCTTGGATGTGTCCCCATCTGTATACTTAAATGCACAATGCCCAGGTACGACTATGGCTTTGGTATCTTGCAGAAATGATTCTGGCATGGTGCCCCCCATGGGCTTGGCCAGGTGTTCTGGGTTGACCAGGGCTGTGCCCTGCAGATTTTCCCAGACTGATTGGCAATATGCAGCTATTGTGTATTCAATTCCCTGAGCGAGCCCCACTTCATCCATATGGTGAAACCACAAAATACCCAGAACTTGGGACGTGTTGGCCTCCCATTCCGTGGACCACCACTTGACAGCATAAGAGCCATTTTTAAACCACCACAGTACCTTGCTGTACCTGGAGGACCAGTGTATTTGGTGAGCTGTACACCATTGTGCTAAAGTGTTATCTGGCAGGGGAGCCGCTGGAGCTATCGTCTCCCATGGAGGTGGGGTTGGAGGTTTTGGTCACCTCCTTGGGCTCTGGGTGGTTGTAGAATTTCGAGCTGCAGGTGGGGTTGCAGCAGTGGTCATGTCGGGACCCAGGGTGGGCAGCACACCTGCAGGCAGAATATAACAGCACCAGGGCCATTGGAAGAAACCACAACAATCTCCCCCTGTTCCACACTCGTTTTTCCTGATCCTGGCATATGGGAGGAAACTGAGCAACCACCCTGTCCCACAGTAACATTGACAGATTCCTCCTTGCCAGTCCACAATCCACCGTCGGTGACTGAAAGGCCAGTTTTGCACTTCTTCGATTGTGGCTGGGCATTCCCAGCATCCCAGTATGTCTGAGGCTTTGGCAGTGGGTGCGATCTGGGGCACGGGAGCACGTGAATGCCCCACAGTAATCAAACAGTAGCAAACGACCAGCAGTCCTGTCATAATGGCATTCCACCCCTTCATTGTTAGGTGAGGGTGGTGGCGTCCCTCTGGAGTAGGGTGATGATTCCAGGCCACCTCAGGGCCGCTTTGGCTATGCCCGCAGATGGACCCAATCTGCAGGAACAAGAAAAAATGGAGTCTGTCTCTCGTTAGATGAATCCAACCTTGACACCCACCATGAGTTATGTATGTCCCTTGCCATTAGCACCCCTTCCCATTTGTCCCCCTGTGGATGCTTAACTACTACCTGGTCCCCCGCCTGGAGTTTCCCCCAACCACCCCTTGGCTGTTCCACTGCTGGCTCACGGGGTTCTCCCTGACCGAAGGCTTGCTGCATGGGGCTTCCTCCGGGGAGGGGCCGATTGTTGGCCCAGTTGACTGAGCGACTCAGGTGCAAGTCCC